TTAAAAAAACTTTCCATTTGTAAAAGTACTTCAAGGGTGTAGTCATTATCCAAACAGGTGAAAGGTTTCCTTTTATTGGCTGTGTTCATTAAAAGATGGGACAACTATCTGTCAGAAATGTTTTAATTTGAATTCCTGCCTTGAGTATGCTGGATTCATTGGTCTAAATTATCATCCATGTACATGAATTATGTACATTCCATATTCTATTTTCAAATGTTCCAGCCCTCACCTAGAATTATATTTTCTCAGAAGGTCAGAGAGGACTAATAACATTTCTGTAATACAAGATATATTTACAAATGTTGTTTAGCCTGAGTAGAAAGGTAGGGATTCTCATGGTTAACACCCCTATAGATCCTTGTTCTATAGCCAATTCACGGGGTAACCCATAGTACCACCAAATTTTTGACAGGCAGCATTGGCATTCTGCCTCCTTTTCAGACATTGTTCGAGTTAGATTTACTTTCTGATACTGATCTCACTTATTTCACCTTCTTGACTAGGGAGAAAGGGCAAATGAAGGAAGACAGACAAGACTTTCTGATCATCACCCATCTTAGGTCATCCTAGTTACACCTCTGATCAAACAATGTCTGAAAAGGAGGCAGAATGCTGATGCTGCTATCTGTCAAACATTTGATGGCCCAATGAATTGGCTATAGAAGAAGGATCTATAGGGGTGCTAATCATGAAAATCCCTATCTTGTGCAGTATTCTCACAATCACCTCACAGAAACGTTAGAGCCAAGAATTAGCAAGCTAGACAGTTTCCCTTTTGATTATCTTGACTACTCCATAACCATAGCCAGTATTAGGAATGTTAAGTTCTGGGCAAAGAATGGAGTTGGGGCCAGAATTATTTCTAACAGCTCTTTATTCAATACTGCCTGTGAGGCAACTAAAAACTCCCTGGCTGACACAGCTCCTTTTATAGGAAACTGATCAGCCAACAACCAATCAGGAAAGAATATTTTCCCGCTCCAACAGAGAACCAGGATGAGAACTTGAACTGATAATTATCTACACTACATAACAAGGAATGTGATATATGTTCACATTGCTGAACTATGCAAGTGTTGCTGTACTGAAAAATGCTGCCTGTTCCATCCGGTATAATAAGGAAGAAGTTGAATGGATAGAGATTGATCAGGAACACCGAGGGCATAAGTTTTAATATCCATTAAATGTCAAACTTCTGCCCCCATTCATGAACATAACTATTTGAAGATGTGCAGAAAAGGGAGACCAGTGATATAACAAGGCCCATACTTTAAATCAGCCTGTTCTCCCACCTCACTAAAACCTTATTAGAACAAATCTATACCCTTTGCTTCTGCAATCATGCATCATACAAAAACTGAAATGGTGCGTGCAAACAAAGGAGAAACAATGGTTTGTGCCTTACTTTATGGGTAAGTTATTAGAAAGATAACAGAAATGTTTGAGGAAAGGAAGAATAGAAATGGATGGGAGAGAAGAGCAGACCAGTAAAGGAAGAACAAATTTGCAAGGTTGATAAGGATAAAGAAACATAGGATTTTATGATCGTCTAGAAAGCATAGAAAGGCTAAGCAATAGAGGATAACCAGAATTTATTCAGTGCCAAATTTGGTAATTAATATTTCTCCATGGATATAAAAACTCCGAGTCAGGACACCAGAATACTTCTAACATTTACACTATTGAAACTTGAACAGCAACTGTCATCTTAAGCGGATTTGACAAAGTGTATAAGCTAGATATTAAAATCTCCTATTAAAGCTGATCTCCGGAGCCTTTGCCTCGGGAACAATGGAATTTGCAAAACCGTTGTATGCCATCATGAATAGCAATCAAAAAACTGCTGCAGATTGCAATTGCAGACTGTAAAATATGGCCCCTTAAATTCTCAGTGGTTCTTCAAACATAAGGTCTCCTACAATAGATGATCTTAATATTTAAATACCAAATACTCATTGATAGGATTTTCCCTGCTCAAAACACTGAAATGAATTCCCTTCCTGATAAGAGTTCTTAGTCTTGCCATGAATGGGAAAGTAGATTTTGCAGATTATTTTTTTAAAATGGGCATTTGTTTGTGGATGGCAGTTCTCTCCCGTTCCCAAAGGCTTGTACACTGCTAAACAGCAGCTAATTATAAACTTACATCTCTTTTCATTATTGTGCCATTGAAAGGATAGATGCTTTCCTTCTCCAGCTGGGAAAAAATGGCAAGGGAGTACTGATTCAAAATAGGCTAGCCTTACTAACTGAGAAGAACTAATAAGTAATTTCCTGACAAGTTAGAACAATTAACTAGTGGAACAACTTGCCTCCAGAAGTTATGAATTCTCCAATACTGGAAGTTTTTAAGAAGAGCTTGGACAACCATTTGTCTGAAATGGTATAGGGTTTCCTGCCTGAGCAGGGGTTGGACTAGAAGACCTCCAAGGTCCCTTCCAACTTCATTATTCTATTCTGTTCTAAGATAATATGCCAGTCTACTCTGATTTGAATTCAGTGGGCTCTTATTACTGGATTGCAGCATAAACATGCAAAGTCCCCCATGGAACTAATGGATCAACAGTGAAAGGATGTAATGGAAGAGAGATTTACTTTTTTATTAAAATGCTATACAGCACATTCTCTGTAAGTGCTTCTCTGTCCCATTACCTTGGATCATTGTTGTTCCTTTAATCAGACATTGTAATCAGTGACCAATCAAGCCAGGATCAAGCCAGGCTGTTTTGTGGTCCCATATCCTTTTGCAGAGCGTTGCCTTGTTCTGTGAGTCACTCCATATCTGCTGACAAGAAGCCAATCTGCTGTTTGGGGTCAATAGGGAGATTTCTGATTGCAAATACCAGCTTCAGGAAATATGTTCTCTCTTCAGAAACTCACCAAGGAAACGTCTTACATTTGTCTTTAGCCCTGATATCTTGATCAAGACCCTTTTTTTTTTTTTTGCTAACAGATGCATTAAAAAGAAATACCCCTGCATTTTAAATGAAATGTTATTAATTCTGGCTTTGAAACTGTCATCCGAAAAGGAATACCGTAGATGCAACAGATATCATTCTGTCTTATATTAGTCCTAGTTCCAAACCACACTGTTTAATTGGGGAATGGGGTAGGGGTGTATTTTTTGAAAACTCTTTTCATCTGCATAAATGATAATTTTTAATGACCCAGAGTCCTTAAATTTTAATGACCCAGAGTCTTGGCTAAGCCCCCCACCCCCAAAAGCTAGGGCTAAATTCATTCCCCAGCCCAGCCCTCTCCTCTCAGCACATAAATCCTCAGAATGTGTTTCAAGAAATTGTTTCATTCTCTTCCTTCCCAGGACTGAAGCAATAGCCTAGAGAAGCCCCAAGGAAGTGGACCTTATCTAAAAAAAACCTTTATAGTTGTCTTCACAGTAGTTTTCATTGTCCTGGGTCATGGTAGGAAAAGAAGTTGTAGAAAAGAAATATTTCATTCACACATAATCCTTTGGTATCGTTGGAAGAAACACCCAGCCTGGTTCCAAGCCAGAAGAAAGATGCTGGAAATAAAATAGAGGCTGATTGGAAAGAAGGACTCTTGTTTATGGATGAGCAGAACCAACAACAGCATGTGGTTCTGGGACAGCTGACAAATTTGTTTGATGAGTACATAGTTTTTTATGGGGTTCTGAAATGCTGCTAGGAGTGTGTACAATGGAGTGAGCCTGTTGCTATTCTTATGGTGGCGGGTTAATCCTATTATGTATGTCTGAAAGGTCATGTCCTTTCTTAGAATTTGGGTGGAAGGGGATGTAAATTTTAATCCCATCTCTGGAAGTGAAGGTGTTTTGTTTATGAATAGGTTGGCCCAGTCTTTCTTAATGGGCACAAAATATCCATCTCTAAAGACTTTAAGAATCTGCTGGAGGCTGTTGGGGCTGCTTTCTGCTTTGTTGAGATTTTTTTCTCTCTGTTTCTCCTTTAGGAGAAATATAAATATCCTGCTTCTTTTAATATTCCCAAAAATATTTCATTTGGGGGGGGAGGCTTCCCACAGTATCTGAGGGGCGGGAGAAATCCACCTATAAACCATCTATGGAGACTCTCAACCATCCAAGGCATAGTTGTTCCAAAGGCCCTTTTCAAGAGGCAAATGGACATCGTGAGCTCTTGCCATACCACAGAAACACCCTCCCAACTCATGTACATCCTGCACTGGGTTTCCCAGGGCCTCCCGCATCTCCTCTTATCTGGGACTCCTTCTGCTTCCCACTTAATAACTTCCTTGTCTGTAGTTACAACAATCAGGACTGCCTGGATTGCTCTCACCAAGCATGTGGTGTCCCGCTTTATGACCACATTGCTTAACCACAGCAATTCCAGTCGTAACTCAAGGATTACCCATATATTCTTATTTTGTTTTCATCTTTTCTATTTTTCCTTTTGATTTTTTTTTTCATTTTTGCACTTTCAGTTTTTGTAGCTTGTTATTTTAGCTTGTATAAATTTTAATGTTTTATTATTGTAACTTTTAATAAAATTACAATTTTTCTAAAAAGGTCCATTGGCATGGAAATGAAGGCAAGCCTCCAAGACTGACATCATTAGTAAGATGCCATAGTAATGACTGCTGCCATCCTGAGTCCAAAAGTCTTTTCTTCATTCCTTTTTTGGGGGGAGGGGTTTGTTCATATTCCTTTCTTTGTAATATCCCACAAGAAAAGCTATATAAAGACTTTTCTCTGGTAAGAATCTTCCATGATTATTGAAAGCTAGATAGGAATAAACTGTTTCACTGGAAACGGTTTGATCTGATTTTTTTTTTAATGATCAAAGTAAGCTTGAATACATTTAAAGCTTGCAACAGAGTTTTTCTTCTATCCAAATGTGGACTTGAAGCATTTGCGAGGAGCTCATTATGGATTCTTCATTATTAGCAGAAACCAATATGAAACTGAATGCAGAAAGCAAATTTGCCTGGCTTTTCTGCCTTTATATTAGAAAGAGGAAGTGGGCAGGCTAACTATCAACCCTGATGACAAGAAAGGCACCATTATTATACCGACTCTCCTCCACAGAGATCATGAAAGCGCTCAAGGTTGTTCCTGTCCTCCTTTCATTGATTTACACCACCGTCAGCATCACCAGATGGCCTACACACATAATCTGCAAGAACAATAATTTGGAAGTGAGCTACAGAAGCTGTGGTGAGAGCTCATACTTCTGTTTAACTTCTTACGATGACCTTGTTTTTTACTAACAGCTAGTGCAGTAGGTTGTACAATAGACCGTTTGCTAGATGTGTTTGATACTTCAGGTTTTGAGGAAGATTCGTTTGGGGCAATTCTCTTTTGGCACATTCCATTTCCACCGGACTAAGAAAATATGAATAAAACAAGATTACAAGGACCCAGATTGTTGGGGGCAATATGCTGACTCCGTGCAACCGCTTAGAGCACTGGGAAGAGGTATATAAGTCTATTGCTATTATGTATAATGGTAACAGAGAATTAATATGTTACAAACCTGCTCATTTTAACCTCATTTTAACCTTATCGTCTATTCTCCCAGTCTAACATTTCGAGTAATGCTTGAAGCATTTTTAATAGAGAAGCTAAAACTCTGATCTGGTGAATGGAGCTTTAATGCAGATTCATCTTATGCTAACCAACACCCACCCCAAATTTTCAGATTCATTTTACACTAACCATCATACCCACCCCACTTGGAATGGTGAGAATCCTGATTTTTTTCCCATCTCCTACGCCATCTTCTTCCGTCCCCACCTGTGTAATAAACAAGACATTCCCTCAAGTCATGCAAATCTGATATTCTCTCTTCTTTCCCTTTTCAGTCAGCCTGAATCAGCTTTAATGTGTAACTCAGGAAGGAACCATGTTGTCAAAGGCGGGTCGCCAGGTTTCCCCCCTCCCCCATCCAGTGAGCTTCTTAGACTGGCACCACTTCCCATAGACAGTTGGTTTTTCTAATCTGCTGGCAGAAAAAAGAAACAGGCACCTCTGAAATGAATGAAAATGAATCTGCTTGGCAGTGCTTCTTTCCAGAGCTTTCCAGCTTGACTGGCTCTGTGCCTCAGCTGCTGCCCTGATGCCGAGGAGATGAAGGGAATGAGCTTCACAGACATCTCATTCATATGAGGCACGTGATATGAAAAGCGATCAGCGGCACATGAGAGCCCAAGTGTTTGGGTTGTTTCAAATTCATCCAAATACAAAAGCTGCCCTCTGTGAGTTTGCCTCTTTCCCTGAAGCTCAGGCATCGCTTTATGTACCTTCGCGGAAATTATTTTAAAAATGAAAACAAAAACAGCGAGGGACACAAGGAGCAAATAAATATTTGGAATGAAATCTTTTACTAGTCAGTTCCTAGGAGACGAAGTCAGCTTTCAAATATTATAAGTGGATCTCCAGTAGTAGACCCAGGACAGGAGGCAAAATAAAGAAGGCTGTTTTTTACGAGTCAAACGATGACTTCATTTTAGTTAAAATGCTGTCTACTCCATCTGTCTGCGTATCAATATTACCTGCAATCCATTTCTGAGCGCCCTCAGGAACTGAACATCCTACATGCAATCCAGCTGTTTTCTTGCTAAGCTACAGACCCAACTCAAAATAGAAACCATTTCTCCTGAAGAAATCAAACCTTGGTTTCATATAGGCTACTATATTTCTGAGAAAAAACAGATAATAGCAGGAACAGATACGGGCATACACACAACCCATTGGTTCATTTACAAGGAATAGAATAGCATGGCATGACATAGCATAACATAGAATATGAATACGAATGGCATTCAAAAATCCCAGCAACCAGTTCACTGCCCAGTTGCTGGGTGGGTGTGGCCATGGTGGGCGTGGCCAACCGGAACTTCCAGGAGGGCTGTTTTTTGCCTTCCCCAGGATCCGGAGGCTTCCGTCGGCCTCTGGGAGGGTGAAAACGGCCTCCCTGGGGTCCGGAGGCCCTCCAGAAGCTGGAAACAGGCCTGTTTCCAGATTTCTGGAAGGCCCAGTTTTCACCTTCCCAGAACCTCCGTGTGGACCCTGCACTTACCTGCATCCAAAACGCACTGTGAGGAGACTCCTGGGATGGGAAAGGTGGGGTGGGTGGGGCCAGCCAGTAGGTTCAACTACTGGTTTGGTGAACCAGATGTAAATTTAACAACCAGTTCACCCAAACCGGTCCGAACCGGCTGAATCCCACCCTAGAACCCCCAACTTCTGAAGGCAAGATGTTCCACTGATTACCTGTTCTCACTGTTAAAAAAAGTTTCTCCTTAATTCCAAGTTGTGCCTCTTCTTGATTAGTTTCCATCCATTGTTTCTTGTCCTGCCCTCTGGTTCTTTGGAAAATAAGTTGACCCCTTCGTCAACTAGAGCTGTTAGCAGCTATTCTTTTTGCATTATTCCCTCATTCATATGCCCCAAATAAAGGAAATAACTGTAAATCAGGCTGCTATATATCAACAATTTTGTGTTTAGCTAAAATGTCATCTAATTCAAGTGAATGCAATCTTATGTTCACCAACTTGAAAACAAGTCTCACTGAAATTTATGGGATTATTTCTGAGTAAATATAGTTAAGCTCAAACTGTACATGTTTTTGTAAAATGTTACTAGCCAGAGCCTGTTTTCAGTAAGCTGGAGATTTGCCCAATATAATAAGTTTAATTTGGGGACTCAGTGTTTCTTGTATGTAAACATATTGCAATGGGCTAGTTTTTTTTGAAAAAGTACTTTTTAA